GGATGCACAGAGCTCTGGGCCTCTCTGCATCTGCAATGTAATACATCCCTGAACTCTGTTAAATGTACAGTAGTATTCTTTCTACAGTAAAGCCTCCATCACTGTAAAACCGCATGCATCTTCATGTACTGAGTCAAGATTAGAGCACTGTGACTGAAACAGGAGTTTACTTATCCCATTTTATAATTTCAAATAGTACTGCCAGCCGTGTTACTGGTAGCCATTGTCTTTGACTTGCTCATTTTTCTTCACATATTGAGTTGGTTTTGTGATCTTTGGAATGTATATTAGCTTCTATTATTTGTGCACAAGATTCTCGTTTAATATTCTTTGTCAGAGTTATTCCTGGATTTCCAAATATTCTTTATCCATTAACTATCTGTTCTGTTGACCATTAACTATCATTTTAACTTGAACCCTAGGTTTAATTATTGATGCTTTTGGTGAGTTAAGAGATCAGCAAGAGCAAGTTAAGGAAGACATGGAGGTAAGAACATCCGATTGCTGAATCATACCCTATTTTCAGGTTTCATGAATATCTGTTTTCAATCAAAACGTGACCTAGCTAGTTGATAGTTTTTTAAACTAAGAGGAAGATAACAGTTCTGTACATGGTCCAATATCATCCAGTGTTCTGTGTGAGATTCTACTCTCACATCTCAGTTCAATAGATGCAACCAAAAACTGAGATTTTTTTAATTGCCTTTTTAAAAATCTATTAGTTAGATTACTTACATAAATAGTTCTGTTAGTACCCGATAAAATTCTTTTTAGACAATTTTGTGAAGAGAAAACTCTGCTAGCATCCGGGTTCTGAATAGCATTTACCACTCTTCGCTGCCTCCTGTGAAAGAGGTGTGCTATGCTGTCAGGTGCTAGGTGCTACCTTGCATGTCTGTCTGTGTGGGACAGAAACCCGGGTTGTCTAAACTGATGTTCTGTTCCAAGCATATTTTGGATTTGTTTGTGAATTTTAATGGATTTTTTTAATACCTCCAGATCAAGCATGGCCATTTTTTTGCTGTTAGTGATGTTAACAAAAATTCAGACAAAAAGCCTAACAGCTTATTTTCTCCTGACTTTTTAAAGTTGAGGTTAATACCTGTATCTTCATTTTTGTAAACAAGAAAAATCTTTGTACATTGCTGTATATTATAATGAATTACATGTCTGTGGCTATTTAAGTCTTTTGGCTCTTCAAACTAGAGGTTTCCGACACAGGGTGTTAACACTATTGTGTTACAGTTCATCTCAGATGTAATTTTCCTTGGTTAATCTATGTATGAAAATATCCTGTACTTGGTGGTTTTCTATTCTGTCATTTGACTATAAGAACTCAGAAAAGTGTTGCAAACCAACTGTGTTTTGTAATCTAAACTTGGAGCATATTCAGTTTCAGCTGGACAAGCACAACAGGCGTTGAGGTAAATATTGCCATATGTTACAGTGAGTGCTACTTACAGTGCTAAAGGAAAAAAAAAATCAGCTTTGACCATTGTATGCCATTCTTTCTCCTGATACCTGTTCACTTACAGCTGGCAAAGGTTTTGGGGGGTTTTTGGTTTTGTTTGTTTTGTTTTTAAACAGTGAGATGCTATTCTGAAGGCACTTAAACTTCTATTCAAGTGTTTGAGCTGAGTCCCAATCATTAAAAGAAAAGCCTTTTTGTTCAGCACATAGTATACATGATGCCTCGCCATTTTCAAGAAAACTGTTACATTTTTATTGGCCATTTCTCAAAGGGGAGTAGGATTACCTGTAGTCTTGAAGTGCTCTGTATTCTTTCTTGTAGACAAAGTGCTTTATCTGTGGAATAGGAAATGACTACTTCGATACGGTGCCCCATGGCTTTGAAACACACACGCTCCAGGAGCACAACTTGGCCAATTATTTGTGAGTACAGTAAAAATGAACTCCTTCCTAACTGATGACCCTTGCAGCCTCTGCAAGTACCTGATTAGCGCTCTTGCATAAGTAAGAGTCAGTACTGTGGGGCTTTGATGTGCACTCATGCTGTCTGAATATATAATTCTGTAATGATGGGAGCAAAGAATGAACAAACTTCATTACCTTGTTTCCAGCTTGATTGTGACACATGAAATTTGTGTGAACTAGGAGATGGAAACCGGGAACTTAATATGTGGTTGAGGAGGCACTGTAAAATTAAATGTGTTGTGTAAGGAACAGAAGAACAGTATGACCTGGCCTGGGAGGCTGATGGAGAGTGTGCAGAAGGAAAGGTGTGAGGCAAATGAGGGAAAATTTACATTGGGCAAAATATTTTGAGTGGAGTGCTGAGGCTGACTAAGAGAACCCGGGACAAAGGGAGATGGGGGAACTGGAATGAGGAGCTAGAGGGGAGGGATCAGACCATAGGCATCAGGTCAACCTTTGGAAAATCCAAGCAGAGCGTCAGTGGCCACTAAACTTGGTCATTTTAAATCTGAAAATAAAACCATTTATCAGGTCCACAATCATTGTATTATACTGTTCCTGTCCTGTCAAATACATATGAAAATCCAGCGCCAAAGTGTATTTTATACTAGTGCTGTCAATATGAAGCACTGGATGGATTGTGACTTTGTGTCTTTAAACTAGCATTATATGTGCACAAAATAATGGTACTGTAAAGTCAAATATCCCTATAAAGAGCTTCCATCTGAAAAACAGGTTGTGCAAACAAAATACATTAAAAGCACCATCATGTGGGATTTTGTTCCTGTTTACAAAGTACTACACAAATAGCAAAATAACATACTATAGCATACTTACTCTAAGTGCATCATCCTAAGGAAATGTTTTTTGATATTTTTGTGCACGGTCATATTTTGTATTTTTACATACGTTTGGAGAGAACGTCTATGATGAGTGAAATTTTGAAATAATCACCCAGTGCCTGTCTCATATCCCAAAACTCCAAGACTAATGTATTTTTAAAATTACAAGTGCCTTTCTGCTCATGTTGATTGTGAGTTCCATACACTAGTAAAATATCCCCAACCTGTAATTTCATTAAGAGAAATCTCTAAATCATCTTCAGCATTTACTATACATTGTGGGGAGAGGGGAAAAAAAAGTTCCAATGACTGTTCTCTGTCTACTTCCAAGTTGGTATTCATGGGCAAGAAAATGTCTATTACAATTTTCAGATTAGAAAATCTTCATTTAAACTGAGTTGTTATTTACTGTAATTCAAACTCAATCTTACATTTTAGCATACTATTCATTGAACAATGAGTGAAAGTCAACAATGTCAGGAAAGTATATTTAATGTGTCTAAATAGAACTCTGGAACTTGTAAGTCCATGAACAGCATTATCACTGTACGTACTGAAAAATATCCATCCTTCTGTGAGTTGCCTGATGTTTCCAAATATTGTATTCATAATAGCTGTTTATTTGTTCGTAGGTTTTTTCTGATGTATCTTATTAACAAAGATGAAACAGAGCATACAGGACAGGTAGGTTGAATAACTCTATGAATATCAACAATTATTAAATAAGACTGATTCTAAAATAAAAATCATTCATGCTTGGCAAAACGAAGAGTATTCTAATGAACAGCACCCTATATGGTATGTAACTCAGTTCTCATTCTTCTAAACACTTCTTAGGGCTTTGGTTGCTTAATGTTAGATTGACTGTCAATTCTGTAGTACCTTCTATTCCTATTTTGTTACCTGACCTGTTATTCTTAAATTTTTACACCAAAATATAATACACAAAATATAAATACAAAATTAGTGAGAAACAGAACATTTAAGCATCCTGTGAAAGCAGCACTCTTCATTTTTACCTGTTGATTCTTTTTTAATAGTCTTTGTCCTTTACATTGCTGGCTAAGTCCATATGAAAGAGCTTGTGCATATATTTAAAGTAAAACTTGTGAGGGAAGTTTTCCCTGGAGGTTTCTTCTTTGCTGTTGTTCTTTCAAACTTCTGGTGCTTCTCAACTTCCTTTAAGTATACTTAAAAGTCGGTAATAAAAATGTATCAAATTTATAGACTACTGTTTTTTTCTAGTGATAGTCTTGCAGCTGACTAAGCAAATGTTCCCATGTTGCAGGTCAGAAAATAAAAAAAACTGAAAAGCATCATATATATATAGCCCTACAGATTTGAGTCAGAGGGATGATTTTCTATAAATCTATATAATTTACTCTTTCTGAACTCTGATATATATACTGGGCAATTATAATCATAATCTTTGCCTAAATCTTCCCAGCCTTGTCGAGTATCAGATTTTATGTATTTGCTTTGCTATTTTTGAACATCCATTTGTCATTTGAGAATTTCATATTAAATGAGATTTTTTGAAAAGTCTTTTTTATTTGCATTTTCTTTTTTTCTTGGCATACAGTGTGTCCTACTATATTTGCTTAAGCCATATTTTCTACCAACTATTCAGTTTTGATACTGTTAGCTGATAATTTGAAAATTGAGGGTACTTCATACTACATAACTTCTAGGGACATGGTTTAGTGATGGACTTGGCAGTGTTAGGTTTACGGTTGGACTCGATGATCTTAAAGGTCTTTTTCAACCTAAATAATTCTATGATTCTATAACTTGTGTAACACGTGTCCTTTCTACCAAGGAATTTGTATAATAAAAAACACATTTAAGTGGTGTGATTAAAATGGAAATAAACTGTCATATCCTTTACTGTTCTCCAGACTGCCTAGAGACAGAGCCTTACCTGAAAAAATAATCAGAAACAAACAAAAAAAAAACCCAAACCACCACTGATTCAGAAAATACTGGTCTTCTGAGAAACACCTTTAAAGGCCATTTTGGTTTATGTATTGTGTGCAGGCATGTTTTGAAATGACTGATGCAGAAATTCAGGCAAATCTCTATGATAGAAAATATTCTGCTTACCCTGGTATTTCTCTTGTGACCACCTTTAATTGGGCTTTACGGTGGTCCTGGATGTGCAATAAGAATTATACTATCTGGTCCTTTTCTATATGTTTCTCTAGTGCTTTTTGACTAGGTCACAAAATCTAAAAGCTACTCTAAATTGATCAAAATCATTAATAGGATTTTGTAGATTGATATACAATAACCTGATATACACAGAATCAAAACAGTGAAGCAGTATATAAATCAGTTAAAAAAAGTCATGTTTGGTGCTTTCTTACTGAGTCAAGTTAAATTATTTAAATGCTATTTCTTTCAGGAATCCTATGTATGGAAAATGTATCAAGAACGATGCTGGGAGTTTTTCCCTGCTGGTGATTGCTTCCGAAAACAATACGAAGACCAGCTCAACTAAGCAAAGATGAGGATTTCCAGACAAAAATATGTCCATCTATTTCCCAACTCTTTTGGGAATGTCTAACAGATTTCTTAAATCCCCAAAGCTGTGTGCTTTTTGGAGCACCAAAGCTCTGTTTTTAATGACCCAACTGCGCTTTTATTTTCTTGTGTATTTGCTTTGAGAACACTGGAGTAAAGAACAATGAAAAATAACAGCAACTCTGGAAAACAAACCAACCACTTGAACACACAAAAGATACCCCTATACATAACATGCACACATAAGAAGAGACTTGAGACAGCTTATTTCTGAAACTGCCAGATGATGCCCTTGTCTATATCATACCTGGGGTGACATGGTAGCAACACTCATTCAATCTGTTTATTTCATCATCCTGGAAGGAACTATATGTAGTTCACAGAGCACTGTAAAAGATTGTTGTGGACACTAAGTTGTGGGGAAATAGTGCCTTACTATATGTGGGTTGAGCTATGCAGAAGATGAGTGCATGATGACATCGTATTTTTTTTTAATTTATGTCTTCCCTTTCTTCCAAGTCGATATTTATTTTGTGGTTTTGGTGGGTTTGGGAGGAAGGGATTTGATTGTGCGCATCTTTTGTATAAGACTGGAGTGTCTCAGGACAAGATTAGGTTATTTTCATCAAGTTCATTTCACATTTACCTTCCTCTTTAGCTTTTGCTCTTATTTTGGTAATGCTCTGATACAACACTGCAACTTTATGAAATCTTTGTATGAAAACAAGTTGACTGCAAAAAACACTTTAACAAGAAATGTTTCATTGCATGTTTATTATGCAAGTTTCAAACAGTCAAAAAACAGCCTTCAGAAGCAAGTTGATCAACATGAAAAAAACATTCACAATAATTATATCCATAGTAATAAAGTGTTGTGGGCTTTATTGTACATCTGGAACAAGTGTCATCGGCCAACAATGTATATGTTATGAATTTGACAGTAGTTTGGTTTCTTTTTCTTTTTCTTTCTTTCATTTCTGCCACCTGTGATTGATAGTGGAGTTGAAGATTTTCTTGTTAAATTATTTTTTAAAAGCAAAGCTGAAGCAATATCCATTCAGGGACTCCATCAGTTGCATCATGAAACACCAATGACGTGTACACCACTCCATTTTGAGTCTTTTTCAATTGTAATGCCAGTCTTTACAAATAAAAAGAGAGATTCAGAATGGAAACAAGCTGGTTTTGGTAGCATTTGAGGTCTTTGTTACGGAGTCTTTTTATTAATCCCTGAATTAATTACACCCACTTCAAAACAGGATTGAATTGCTGTTTCCTTAATGAAGGTTTTTGGTTTGGGGTTTGGTTTTTCTCCTGGATGACTTGCTGTTCTGTTGCTCTAGCTCATTTCTTTACAGGTCACAGTTTTGTCATAAAATAAATTGGGTGTATCAATATTCAGTTATAATGAAGAAAAATATAACTAAAGAAATAATCCTTTAAAAATACTATTTCTGTGTTCTTAAAAGCCAGGCTTTCAGTTCAGCAGGCTGTGAATATTGCTACTCTGAAATTCGGATCCTGATGAGGATTCTGGTAAAATTCTCTCAAATTGTACAATATTTGAGGCCAGAGGCTTGGCAGGCTGGTGATGGTGGGAGGGCAGGTACAGCAGCTACAATTTGTATTCATGTTTTAAACCACTGTCACCAAGTTTGGAGTATTCATTCCAGCATTATTTGCTTCCTCTGTGGCACAACTCCATAAAACACTTTAAATCAGCCTTCCTGGGATTTGCATATTAGATTTAGAAATGGGGCATTGCAGTGATACTCCTTTTTGAGTGTATAACATGATAATATTTGTTGTTTGACACACAGACACGCATGCTATTTTGGTTTTGCACACTTTGTTGAGAAATACGTAGCTAATGATTCTGACTGTTATTTCAAGATCACTTTGTATGGAAAGCAAATTCAGACGGACTTTGTAGGCAAATACCAGAATAAAAGTGACATGTTTCTTTAACGTCAACTTCCACGTCACAAATCTTACGTGCTATTTTAACAGCACACTAATCTGCACTTTTAACAGGATAATATTATTCAGGCAGGCCACATACTACATGATACAGACTGTGGTGTCCAAGTTAATACTGTTTCATTTGTTTTAGACTTAGACAAAGTTGAAGCGAATTCTTAGATTTTATTAAAAATTACTGAACTTACTGTGACATACAAAACTTCTTCAAATTTTTTTTGTTTTAAAAAGAGTCACTAAAATAACCAGTGTGATCATATAAACACAGCCAACCAATACAGACAATTCACTGCTTTAGTAGTTGTATCAAAAGGAATTAATATTGACATGTGTCCTAAATACTAGCACAATGTACAAAAGCAGGTAATGATATGTCACTTGAAAGCTGAGGTTTAAATCCAAGAAATTCAATGATAGTGCTTATGCATGTGATACTTAAGGTTATACTTACACACATATTGTGTATGCTAATGTTTTTTCAGCTGTTAGCTGAATTTACTGATTGTGTCAGTAAAACTGCAATTTTCAGGAGGCACTCTTGCCCTTTACTGGAGATAGCAGAGAGAGAATTGTTGCTGTTTACCTCTGAATGCCAAGAGAATTGAGAAGAGCTCTAAAGCTGGTGATCCTAGTGCATACATGTTGATTTCGGCAAAGAAACAAAGGAATGAATGGCAATGGAAACGCAAAGTAAGATGGAAGCAATTCGTTTGTAGAAGTTGTTACCCGTTTATATATTGTTCCACGTAGAATTGAGTTACCTGACCTTTGTTACACCTTCTTCCAATACTCTGTTCGTATGTCTTTCCCTAAAATTTTGAAGCTTAAGTCTGTGCTTTTTACTGAGACAATCACAGAAAATAGGAGACAAGAAAAGGATGCTGTAATATCCTTGGCCCCTGAATTACTACAGGACTAATTCCTTCATCCTGGCCGCTAATGTGCTGCTTAAGTTGTTGTTGAATATTTTCATTTGTAGTATCTTACTACTGTTACAGGACTCTTACTAATGAATAATAGCATTTCACTTACGAATTGCATTAATGTTTCTTGCTATAACTCCTTTGATAACATTCCTACCATATTCAGAGGCACTTAATAATGCCTTTTACTTACACAATCACCTGTAAAGTATTCATAAAATGTAATATTTTCCATTTTTAAAAATTTTCTGAAGTAGTATGTATATTAATTTTTTTGTTAATTAGTCAAAACAAATATAACTGTAGTGTCCAGAACAGTCTCTGTCAAAGGATACAACATCTGTCACAGAGAGCATGGCTGGGTAAGCTGTTTGATTAAATCTGCCCAGTTTTTATGCTCATAAATGTAGCTCCTTCAATCTCTGTACTTAAGCCATAGCCACTTTTATTTGTATATTTATTTGCTGCTTTTTCAGTTTCCTTCAGTTTTTATAAAGACATGCTAAACCACAGAGGCTTGGTCGCAAATAGAATTTAAAAGGCCCTTTTATGTGTTTTCTGGATTAGGCTTTTCGGTGTCGTCTGCATAATGGCTTAACTGCACCTATGCAATTTCTTCTGTCTAGTTTTCTTCACAGTTACCTGTGTGTGTGTTTGTATATTTGTTTAGGTAAAATGATGTGCCTCTCCTAGGTGGTAAAGACGACCCTTCTCAGCAGCCGTTGAAGATCTCTGGCAGGCAAACAGCATCATTCCGCCGTGCCAATGGAGGTCAAGAGTTGAGGCAACTTTTGATAAAAACATCTTGCTCTTGTAATAACATAGCCATGGGCTGATCTGCCCTTACAAAGGTTTGATCTATACATCTTGGTGCTGGGTGGAAGATCTGAGCTAAAGTTCTGAAAAAAGTCTTAAAATTTCTGACATATAAGGGGGAAAAGCTCAAAAATCCACAACTCCAACAAACTGAAAGACTTTGCTGTCAATCTATTGTATAAATGCTCAGGTTTGCATGCAAGATGTAGTTGCTGTGTTGCTTAGTAGAAATTGCAGTTATATAGACTAAATACCTCTCTCAGATATATGTTAAATAAGGAACTTTGGAACAGTGAAAGGTGGCTAAATAATGCTGGATCATGCAATTTGAGATTTGAAACTAATTAAAAGGTTTTGATCAATTGTTTTTACATAGTGCTAGTAGGATAGAAGGAAACTGCATGAGTTGAATGCATTGGGAAAATAGAATCACCTAGGGAGAATTAGAGCATAGAAAGTCCTGAAGTAATAGAAATAATTACTGGATGGAAAAAATAGCATGAGCAATAAAATATATGAAAGAAAGGTATTTCTTTCATCTGCTGAGAAGTGGGATTTCGTCATCAAAACATCGATGAGCTCTGCTTCTGCACGTGCGATAGAAGTTTGTCACTCTCCCTTCTCTCTCAACGATTACTATGCTAAAGTCTTGCGATTCCTGCAGCTTCATCTTCTGTAACACATGGTGGCAGAAGGTAGAATTCAGCAAAGTATGAAGGTTTTTTTTTACTTTAGAATGTGATAGTTATGTCAGTAGGTTTGAAAGTTTTGTAAAGAAAAGGCAGCAATGGGAAAGTAATTTGAATTGAGTGGGAAAAAGCACCTGAGAACTTACTTCACTGTGTTACAGTTAAGTATGCATTGTGATAAAAAGTGGATAATTTGATTTTTGAGTACTTATAAAATGTTACTGTGATAAAGTAGATAGTGAAATTAGGTAATATCCAAGAATATCAACCTCCTTAAGGAGCTCCTGCGAAGCGCAGTCCCTGTGTCCTGTGAAGACATCACAGTTGTTTTGCTTCCTGCAGTTTGAGGAATAAAAAAATAAAATGAAAGGGCTTGAAATTATTTTAAATCTTGCAAAAACTACTAGTGAATAGAACATGATGGGAGCGAAATGGAAGAAGGAAAGGTTCGTCAACTGTTGTTTTATTTCTTTGGAGATTAATAAATTGCAGTACTTGTGAAGAAAGTGTAATTCTCAGCTTTGAGCCGTACTGCGCCCATCATGCAGACCAGCAGGAAGGTAGCAGGATGGATGACATCTGGCTTAGGGAGTGGTGGCCAGTGAGGCTGCTGTTCCGTCCTGTGGTAGCGTGCCCAGGCTAGGCTCAGTGTATCCAATTCCGAAGGAGTCCCTTCCCCGTCTACCTCGGTGCCAGGGAAAGGACCACATCTGACCGTCTGTGTTTTCTCAGTTGCGTTATTGGCTCCTGTCCGCTGGCAGCAGACTGCATACTGCTATAACTGCTGGTACGCAGGTGCTTGCAGACACTTCCTCGTAAGAAGAAATTAAAGTTAAATTAATTAGGCAGCTGCTCAGTGCTGCCAACAAGGCATATCCTTTCATCATGTGGTCCATCCTAATGGAAGGAAAGCAGTATATCTACTGACTGGGAAATAAACCAGTAG